CAGGTGGAGGACGAAATCCAGTCCTGCTCCTCTCTCCAGGACCTGCGCCCTGGCCGCGGGAACTGGGTCTACCCAGAGGGGGGCGCCTTTTTTTCTAGTTGGAACAGAGGCATCCTATGGCCTAGGGACCCGACGTCCCCTCGTCCCCACCTGCTGGGAAGCCCTCGGACACTATTTATTACCACCGCACTGTTGGATTTGGGTTGTGTCTGCCTGGGGATGGCTTTTCCCAGAGCGGAGAGAGCTCCTGGAGACCACGAAAGCCTGAATCCCACCAGGTCAGGCCTGCCGGGAGCTTCGTGCGCTAGGCCACACTAGTTCATGGTATCCATGCTACCGATCTATGTGTATCTACATATCTATTATTTTTGGAAATCGCATTTGTTACAAAGGGGTGCAGAACCCGGGCAGTCCCCAGGGAGCCCCAGGCTAGGGGTTCATTGAACCGTGAAGTGCTTGGTTTGCGGGCTCTCTGCCCCATCCCTCCCCGCTGTCGCAGCTCGGGTGGGGGCGCCTGACTGGGTGCTGAATGTACGGAAGGGAGCTTCTGGGCACAGCCCCGGCCCGGCGTCTTCTCTCTCGGAGTCCCGGGGCTGCGACCAACCCGGGCAGCTCCTGGAAGCCCCTGAACCTGGAGAGCGCGCAAACCAGGAGTCCTTCGCAGAACTTTCTTTTCCTTCCTCTCTCTCTTTTTTAAGGAGGTTAAAACTTGTAGCACTTTGCAGTTGTTTGTATTCAAATGACGGTTATTTTTGTATTCAATGTGAATATCCCCTCCACCTCCCGCCCTCCGCGACTGCTGCCTCCGGACCCGGGTTCTCCCATCCCTGTCCCTCAGACAGGTGACCCTGTCAACCTCGCCGCTTGTCGCCTCCTTAAGGGCGCCGTGCACTCAACTAGAGTATTAACTTTAAAAAGATTTGTGAAATTTGGAAGCTCTATTCGTTGTATTTTTTCCCCTTTTAATTTATAAACTTTTAGTTTAACATGCCCTCCTGGACGCGGTGTGTTCTCTGAGCCTCTCTCTGTCCGGCTTCGGGGGAACCGGTAACGTGGGCTCAGTTTCCCATTCGGTCCTCTCCGGGAGTCCTCCCCCCATCACAGAAGCCACCGGCTCCTCACCTCCAGGAAGGGTTTAAACTGGCATCGCTCAGGGAATCGCTATTTTGCAGGAGCCACAGAGGAATCCCAGTGAATCCAGAGCAAATGCCTAAGATTCCCCCCCCCCCCGCCCCCGCAGTGGTCACTAGTGTCTCAGAGTCTAGGAAACATCCAGAGTTGAATGAAAGCCGCTCAGTTCTGTCCGACTCTTGGCCACCCCAGGGACTGTAGCCTGCCAGGCTCCTCTGTCCATGGAATTCTCCAGGAAAGAATACTGGAGTGGGCTGCCATTCCCTTCTCCAGAGCTGAACCCACTGCCAATTTCCATGCCCACCCCATATCCATACCCAACCCTAACCTGTTCACTCCTCCACCTGCCGGCATCCTCTCTGCTTTTGATTTTCTGAGAGTTTGCTCTAAGTGATCCTAGTGTTATTTCGTTTCCAGACTGGGCTAGCAGAAACTCTCGCTGGAATTCTGAACCGATTAGGGGTGAAGGAAGAGCTAAAAAGGTGTCTCCTGCACTTTGACCCCTGCCAGGTGCCAATGACGCTGCACTTTGCTCCAGAACGTTCCCACTCACTCGCCCAAGGACACGTCTTCATTTGATGTGCACAGAAGCCCACCGTGGGAGCAGAGGATAGGCAGGGCGACGCTTATTTATTACCCCATTTTAGAGATGAACTGCGCCCAGCCAGCGTTCCCCAGAATAACTGTGCAGATGCCAAGGACTCACCTGTGCCAACCCCTCACCGCTATGCGCCCCTCATGTCGGGTCCGGGGCGAGCCAGGAAGAGTTAATGCCACATTGCAGGCGCTGAGGCCTTCAGTCTGCGGCCCAGCTGGGAAAACGCTGAAACCCAGGCCGGGCTAACTTTCAATTTCACCCAGAGCGGGTAGGCCAGTGCGCTCTCCTCCCCTGCCTTACGGTCTTTCCCAGCCTCTGACCCTCTGACCTAGGCACCCACACGCCCCGGCTTCTGCCACCCCTCATCCGGCGGGGCCAGCGAGTCTCGAGGAAGGTTTTACAAAAAAACGATTCCTGCTTCTGGAAACAGGGAGACGCCAAGGAAAAAGCAAACGGCCTCAGCATAGGCTCGCCCTGGCCCCCAAGTCCGGCTCCCTTCCAAAGGGTTTCTGCGGTCATTTGGTTTCTTTTTGATACCTTTTGAAATTCCGTTTTAATCACATCATTAATCCCGAATGCCTTTTCCTTACATAAAATTAGAACATTTCCGATAATGCTAAAATCTCCTCTCTGCTCTCCAGAGATATTGGGAGAGGAGGGGAGGTTTTCTCCCCCTCCTTCTGAAAACCTCAGTAGTTTGTGGCCGCGTCCTGAGACTGTAGTTTGTTCTCTATCCTGGCGAATTTGGAGTCCAGAGGACTGGGGAGTTTCTTAAGCAGGCGGGGTCACCCCCCTTCCCTTCCTCAACCCGCTGGGGGCTCCCGACCTGGGCCGGTTCTACTGGGCTGGCTCGAGTCGCCCGGGAAACCTGACTCAAACGATTCAATTCAGTTTGACCCGAATTGTTGCAGTTTCACTCTGAGCCGCCCCGCCACTGGCGTTGGCCCGAGGCCGTAAGATCTGATTCCAGGAGCTGGAGGCGGCCTCCGGGTCCAGCCCGCCCTCCGACAATTTCCCACCGCATTTCACGACCCAAGATGGATGTCTTTACCTGGGCCCCAGGCCGCAGACTTTTCTGTTGGAGATTTTCAGAATTACTATATTTCCTTTTCCTTCTCGACTCCCACCCCGGCCCTTTCTTTAAAGGCGAGAAAGTCAGTCTTGCTTTCTGCCTTCCCTACTTCCTGTCCAATCGGATCTTCCCTCATCCACTCCCTGTGACCCTGGGCCACGCCGAACCCTCTGGGCCTTGCCAGGGCCTGGTCGTCAAGAGCAGCTGTCCCTGGAGTCCGGGAACCTTTAGACTTCACCTTTCTCAGTCCCTTTCAGGCTTTAGTGAATTTCAGAGCTGGCAAAAAGATCACTGGGTTCACCCACACACTTAGATGGGAGCTGTGGCTAGGTAAGCAGGCAGAATATGCTGTGACCTGTGCCGAAATAGTCCCAAGGGATCAGGCTGAGTCTACAAATCTTGCTCGGGGCTGTAAATTTGGGATGGTAGGCTACCAGATGTCACTGGTGAGTGTGTGCATATGTGTTTAATCTGAACTCCGGGGCCTGTTGACTATGGCAGTCCCAAGCAGCATCTCACTCAGACGACTGATTGATTTGCGGGGTTCCCAGACCCCCAAGAATATCTCCAAACAGCAGAGTTTGGGGATGGATTGCCTTTCAGAAAATAAAGGGTTCCCAGGTCACGGCGAATCCCCGCTTCTCCACTCTAGCAAAGGATGGGGAATCTGACTTCACTGGAGAAGATCAGGAGAGTTCAAACGCGACGACCGAGTGTCTCTGAGAGTCATGGTAGTCGCGCCTGAACCCCAAGAGGCTGGGCCGGAGGAGGAGTGGTGTTTGGGGGAGCAGGAAACTGGCCGAGTGTGGTAGAGCCACACCAGCATCCCACACGGGCAGGACCTCATCCGAGGCCTGCAGTCATCTATGAGGCGAGGACTCCAACGGCCTCCACTCGCCTTTAATCCCCAGAAGAAAGCTGGAATCTGGTCTTCCACGGAGTTCACCTTGCCTTATAGAAAGGCTCCTGCCTTGGGGAAGGCTGGGAGAATCACACATTCCTGGAAACCAGGGCAGTGGTGGAGCGGCACCGGGGGTCAAAGGATGAGGACGGGAGGGAGACAGACCCGCGCTGGGGCTCAGGCCTCGGCAGGCACTGCAGGGTTTCAGTCTTGCCGGGCCACCAGCCTCCCCCTGCTAACAGGCTTCATCGAAACCACACCGAGCTCCCAGGACACAGCAAATGCGTGAAAGCGCTGAGGGTGGGCAGGGCAGACTGAGGCGCCCGAGGGTGTCGCAAGGCTGGTGCAGAAGTCAAGCCACGCCCAAAACCACTAAGGAAGCAGGAGTAGTGGCTGGGAAGATCCGCCAAACAGTAATACCACCAACAGCAACAACCATAACAACAATTCCTGTAACTCTAGTCCTTTTGTCTAGGGCATCATTATTGAATAAGTGCTTCCTGCATCCTGTCCTCCACTAGTAATTCCCCAAGGCCGCCTTTTAGCTGGGTGGGCATCCTCCCCGTTTTGCAGATGGGGAAGCTGAGGCTCAAAGAGGGGAAAGTGACCTGCCCAATGTCACAGACCATCAAGAGGCCAAGTTAACATCATTCGAAGCTCAGAAGCGTACTTGAGGAGTCGAGGCAGCAGGGTGAATTGTCCGTCAGCAGTCAGAGCCAGCATCCCCCAGGTTTGGCCCTGGTGTGGTTGGCTCACAAGAGGGTGAGTGTGCTTTGAAATCCATTAAGCACCATGCAGCTGGTGTGGACCTGCTATTATTGTTGCCATTATTATATTTTTATGAACTTCTGGGCAATGCTGAGTTGGCTGATCTGCAACAATCTTACTTGAACTCCTGCACCCTCCCCAGGGTTCCAAGAGCTCTGCGGTGTGCTCAGCGAAGGGGCCCACAGAGGGGTAGAGACCCTGGACCTCCTCCAGTTTTGGAGTCTCCTGATAAATATGTTTTTGAAATGAAGAAACGCCAAAACAGGATTGCAAAAAAAAAAAATGTGTTATATTGTAAATGGTTACATCATGTAATAAATTAGGGTTTTTTTTTCCCCCTGTAGTCACACATTTAAGTTATTCAACACAAATTGGATTGTTCAAATTATTTATTTTCGTAAAATTACAATTTGGGTGGTCTGGTGTGGGGTCCAGGTTAAGGAGAATGACGAACTTATTTCGAACCTGTTGGATGTATCTGAAGTCGTGCCTCCTAGGAAGGAAGGAAGGAAGCATCAAAAAATCGAATTTTAGAGCAATTCATAAGAACTGGGCAGCTGATCCCGCGGCCCCGCACCCCTCCCGAAGCGCGGCAGCTCCCGTTGCAGTTTTCTGGCTTGGAGTCGGGCAGGGAAAGGCCGGAGCATGGCTTCGGACCGGCCCGGAGCTGACCCGGCACCTCGGCACTGGCGAACAGCACCTCTCTGTTCCTTCTGGAATGTCAAGTTCAAAGGGAACATTCGGTAGCTGAGGGAACAGGGGCGTCGCCCCGGAGCCTCTGGAGAGGTAAGCTCGGGGCTGGGCTCCACGTTCCCTCCAAGTCTGAGTGAGTGAGCGTGATACACTCCCCCGCGCCGGGCCGGCGTTATGCCCCAAGCGCCCCCCTACAGGCGCCGGGGTTCTCTAGTTCTGCGCCCCCGCCCGCAGTGCTGGGCGCGGCCCGCAGCCGGGCCGTTAGCGCGCCCTCGGAGCCAAATGCTCGTGGTCTCTGCACAGGCCTCACGTCTCCAGCGAGCGCCTGCAGCCCTCCCTGCTGGTTCTGCAATTGCAGCTCTAGTTTCTGGCGTGAGGATCCAGCCTAGGGGCTGTTCCAGGCCTCGGGGCTTCTCGGTGAGTCCTCTCTATCCCAGGCCGGCTGCCTCCCGCCGCCACAGTTTCGGGCCTGGGGCTGAGCCGCGCTTCCTAGGACTTGGACCCGCGCCCCGACAACTAGGGAAACCCAGGTCCTGGAGGTATGGGATGCACAAAGTGAGGGCTTCTCTCTCCAGCCTGCTTACTCGAGGGTGGAAGTGCTCAGTGGCCTCATAGGTGCATAAAGTGATTCTCCCCGCCTGGAGCCCACAGGTGAGAAGCCGCTCTGCCACTCCCTTGAGTCTTAGGAAAATTCATTTCTTTTCTCTGAACCTCTATTTCAAAAATTAAATAAAAGAAAGTTGTGAGATGCTCCATCAGGCTTCTGGATAGCCTTTAGGGTCTACACTCACCCCCAGCTAGAAGTAGAAGGAAGGACAAAGCCTTTCTATGTTTTACTGTAAATAATTGCCATCCCCTTTGGGAGCAAGGTTTTTTCCCCTCGGGGAGGGGGTTTGAAGAATCTGGGTCTTTCAAGATGCTGGCTACAGGCCTCCCCAAGGTCATTATCTTTGGGCCTCCTTTATCTGCTGTCCCGGCCTGGGTGGCCAGCTGTTTTGAAAAGTCCAACCTTTTCTGCTGCAAGGCCTTCTCCCCACCCACCAAGCTTGGGAGGAGGAGATCTGAGGCCAGTCCGCTTCTGTGGCCGCGCTGAGCTCCAGCGAGTCCTGTATCCTTGGATGGAAAACGCAACGTGTTAAGAAAAAAAAAATTAATGGCACAAGTGTTTTCTCTGCCGTGGTCCACCAAAAAGCAAGGGTGGGCGGCACGCCGTAAAACAAGAGCAAGTAAAGCGGCTTATTTTAATAAGCTTATTAACATTTTTGAATGGTTTCCCTTGTATGCTCGGAGGCCTCTCCCTCGGTGGCGGCGGAGCTGGGCGGTCGGGATTTTTACGCACCGGTGCTGCGCTCTGGGTACCTAGGGTCTGATGTGGGGGCGGGGGGGGTGGCCGGATGGCGCCCACAGTGCCAACTCTGGACTTGGGCGTCCCCGACTGGTCCACGCCTTGCTGCGCGCCCTTAGCGAGACCGCGCCTATCGGAGGATACAGGGGTTGCCTAAGGTCAGAGGGCGCAAGGGAGCTCGAGTGACCCTAGCGCTGACCCTGAATTGTGCCCACAGCTTGGAAGGACCGGCAGGTCTGAGGGTTGGTCCTGCTTTCGCACGTCTCTGCTGTGTTTTTGCAAAGGGTGCTGTTGGGATTGGCCTTCCTCCCTGCTCGGGTGCCGCTGGTATCCCCGCTAGCGGGGCCGGCGCGTCCTGGACTCGGTCTGCCGGTGTCCCCAGGGCGACTGGCTTCCGGGAATCCCTCCTCCTCAAGGAGCCCCGGGACGCTGTCCCTCCTCTTTCCGGGAGAAGCTGAGCGACGTGTCTTTGGCCCCTGCAGACCGTGGGAAACGAAACGATAATCGCAGAGACAGGTGGTGAGAAAGAGTAGAGAAGAGACGCGCGCGGACACAAGGCAGGTGAGCGATAAGGTGGGTTCATGGAAGACCTCCCCCGGCGGTGAAGCGCTCTCCTTCTAGGTCTCAATTTAAGCGATTTCAGGCCTTTCCCCAGCAACGCTCCCCGCCACGTTTCCTTAAAAAAAATCCCAAGTCCGTCCCCCTGCCCCCGGCCGTTTCCCTGGCCGCGAGGATAAGTGACTTTGGGCCCGTGGCGTCCTGACCCCAAGGAAGAAGGGCCCGCAGTGGCGCTAAGCTCCCAGGGTGGAGTCTTTCGCTCTCTGTCGTTCAAGACGCACGAACTGGCAGGACCCGTGCGTGAGGACGGAGATCCCGGGTTTAGTCCTTACCTGTCCCGCCCACATCCTACTCGCATCTCGGGCTCTGAGTGCGTGGTCACAGGAGCGCGCGCGCGTGCAGATCAATAGAGTCAGCGGAGCTTCCCCGAGCTTCGCCCAATTCTTTTCTCCCGGCTGGTCGGGCGCAGGCCCTGGGGAAGGGCTGAGTGTGAGAGCCCGGCGTGCCTCCGGGGTCAAGTTATTTCGCCTCAGGCTCAAGGTTCTTCCCGGCGCTTCGGCAACCCGCGTGGCCGACAGCAAACTCCACAAAGCGCATCAACCTCAGATTTGATCCTCTTTAAAAGCCCATCAAGTGCACATACAATCTGACCAGTTAAGGGCCCAGAGAATCATGGCCCTGAATGGTTCTCCGTCTCCGATTTTATATGGGAGGGCTGCTGGAGGTCCAATTTTGGAATTGGACAGACGCTGTGATGGAGAGGGGCCTCTGGCCGGCAGGGCGCTGAGACCCCGGCGGGGTGCCTTCGAACACCCTTGGGCTGCGGTGAGTCAGGTGGCAGGACTGAGCCCTCAGCAACTCGGCAGAGGGGCTTCTCCAGACTCAGAGGGGTGACAGGCCTCCTGCATGACTGGCAGTCTCCTAGTTGGGATCGCCCTTTCCATCGACTGCCCTAGGTCTTTGGACTCTCAACTCAGGGCCCGGCACATGGTAAGCACGCCAACGTTTTTAGATTCCTGCTGTCTTGCACCATATGTTTCCAGAACGGATTCTCAGGGCCACTTCTGTTGAGTCTCAAGACTGTTCTGGTTCCATGAGAAGGTGAAGGCGCAAGAGCCAGAGACAGTGGTGAGTCTAGAAGCACTCAGCTAGAAGGCCAAATCCAGACATTCAAGCCTGGGAGCAAACTTTGGGAGATAGTGAAGGACAGGGAAGCCTGGTCTGCTGCAGTCCACGGGGTTTGCAAAAAGTCGACACGACTTAGCAACAACAAGAAGGGAGGCAGTGAGAGCTTCCGCCTGAAAAATCCTGCAGGAACACAGTGTGGATTTGGAACCTGGCCCTTCATGAAGATCAGGCTTAAGCTTCAGTGCTGAAAATATGAATCATCACCGCCCCCCCAATCCCACCCTTGGCAGCCATAGAATAATCTAAGAACCCTGTACTTCCTAGGCAGTAGGTGCTAGGAAAAGTTCATAGCCTAGCTGATAATAAGTTTTGCAAAGTTAAAAAAAGGACATTTAGCATTAAAAAAAATTATGACAATGGTAAGGGGCAGTCAGGGAATGCTGAGAGCTTGTAAAAATCCCCAAATGAGTGAGCACGGTCAACCCCAACTGGAAATCTTTGAGATAAGGGGTTCCCTGCATCCTTTAAAATTGCAGCTATGGCTTTTCAATAAATTCAACACGGAGACTTTTAAGGTTCAGAAAAGCAATCTGCTTTCCAGCAGATTCCTTCTGCGCAAGAACTTACCCACAGAAGCATTTCTTTAGAAATAATTCTTTCCTAAGATGTGCACTGTTTATTTGATTAGCGGCAATTTGTTTTCCACACCATGCTGGTACCCCGTGTTTGTGGGAGGCCAGTGTTGTGCCTTCCAGTGGTTCAGTCCTGGGAATGCACCTCCAGAACAGGTGGGGGAGATGGGACAAGATACACAGGAAGGCCAGCTGGGGTCCTACCTTCCCAGGTGCTCAGCCAGGGAAGGACCTCAAATGAAAGCTCCAGGGAAGCCCTAAACAGAGTTTTGAGGGGGTGGTGGTGATGAGGAAAATCTTTGTTGTGGAATGGCTGTCTGACCTTCTCTTTCCCCTCCGTTTTGTTCCTTCCCTCGTTCATTCATTTGTTCAGATACTCAGCTTTATTTGTTAGGTGCCTGCTCTGCGCTGGCATAACAGAGCAAAAAGGCCCCGCCCTGGTGGAGTTGACCATCTAGTGGGAGACAGGGATGGAAATGCCCAGAGGACCATACAGCCGGCTGTGGCTTCGTGTGGGCGAGTGCCGGGTGTTATTTGGGAGGCTAGTCCAGGGAGGTCACTGGCGTGTCAAGTGTTTGGAAGCGCGCTCTCGGCGTGGCCCGACGTCGGGCCGGGTTGCTGCCTCTGTGACTTCATCAGAGGGTCTCTATTCTCGGCCCTTATTTTCAGTCCTTCTCTGAGACTTTTTGCGGGTGCGGCGACCAGGCCGAGAGCTCTGAGCGCTCTTTTAAACACACGCTCCTTCCCGGGAGGCCTTCGGGGTCCCCATCACCCGCACTCGGAGATGCTGGAGACGCCGAGAAGTTTCTGGAGGAGCTGGAGCTGGGGCGGGGGTGGGGGTGGCGTGCCGCTTCTCCTTCCTCGATAGGAGCCCTCCAGGCCTGCCTGGGCATTCACCAGGCTGGTAACCCGTGCTTTATTTAGCGTCTGATCAGTTTGCGCTTAATCGGTGTCCTTAAGTGCTTTCCGTGAATTATTTCATTCATCCCTCCCCGCAGCTCGATGGCTGCTCCGCCGACGTTGGAGATCGACCCCTACGCCGCGGCTCTCGCTGGCGGAGCTGGGGTTCGAACTAGACTGTCTGGCTCCAAAACCACTCAGCGCTGGCCACATTTCCGTTCCCTTCCCCACCGCAGAGCCGCGGTGATGAGGATCCCACTTACAGAGGAGGAAAATGAGGCCCGGGGAGGGTAAGCGGTGTCCGGCGCCGGGCTGGATGGTTGATGCTGCTTAGCTCCTTTCACTTTCTGAGAGGCGGAATTCATGCACTCGGTAGCGGAGGAGGAAAGAACTAGATACAGGGTGGTTGGCAGGCCTTGGCTGTGCAGGTCGAAATAGCCTGGTGTTAAGGCTTTGGTGGCCGGGCCAGCCTTGGCTGTGGCTTTTGCTTTTTCCCCACTTCATGCATGACCTTTGGACGAGTCCCCTAACCTCTGGCTCTCATTTTCCCCATCGGAACAATGGAACTTGCGTTTGCTCGGAGGAAAAGAAGATAATGTAGTCGAAGCTCTTGGAATTGGTGCTGGCATAGAGCAAGTTCTCAGTGGTGATGAGGGTGGAGGCTGAACAGGAACCAGCTTTCCTAGACTCTCCCTGGTCTTTCCCCCTTTCCTTTCCATCCACAGAAAGGGAATAATTTCCCCCAAACTCCTTATTAAGGAAACATCGCACATAGGTGCTTGCGCTCAGTCCTGTCTGACCTCTTCATGACTGCATGGACTGTAGCCCACCAGGCTCCTCTGTCCATGAGATTTTTCCAGGCAAGAATACTGGAGTGGACTGCCATTTCCGCCTCCGGGGTATCTTCCAAGAGATCGAACCTGCATCTTCTGCATTGATAGGCAGATTCTTTACCAGGAAGCCAACTGCGAAGTCCCTAACGGAAGCATCAGGGGTTGGTGAATTGCCTTTTTGACTCCAGAGGGGTCTGAGACGCGGCCTGTAAAGGAGGAAGCCTTCTTAATCCGGGCTCCGTTTACTCTGCTCCTCTCCTGTGACAGAGTGGCTCCTGACACATCATGGATCCCTGTGGGCTGACTGCTGGCTCAGGCCCTGTAAGCAGGGCGGAAGACTCCGCAGCCCTTTTCCTAGATACTGTGAAGGGGGAGAGGTGGATAAGAAGTACAGAAAGCATAGCAGTTGCTGTGAGGTCAGCCCTCCCTCTCTTCCTTTCTCAGGGTCTCATTGGCAAGAGCTTCCCAGTACCAGTCACTCAACCCTGATCCCCAACCCCTCTGAGCGCACAACGGCAGCCCCCATGAGCGGGGTCCCCAGCAACAGAGACAGGGTGCTCCAGAAAGAGAAAAGGGGTCACATAGGTCCAAAGGGCCTGTGCTGCTCAGCTCTGGCCGTATTTGATCTCATTTCATCCTCAGGAGAATCCCATAAAGTGGGTGGGATTATCTCTTCTTAACAGATGAGGGAGCAAGTTCAGGAGGGTCAAGTGACTAGGGCAGGGTCACACAGCTTGCAGGGCACTCACCCAGGGGACCTATAGGACTTCAAAGCTTCCAGCTACTGCCTGGGACATCCACATGCCCCAGTCCCACTCGGGGTGGGGTCTTGGCGGTGCGCAGAGGAGGCCGGAGTCCCACAGGGAATGAAGAAAGGGGTATTAATTCTCTGGGCAGTTTCCTATTAAGAAAACACCTCTCTGGCCGGCTTCTTCCCAGGGGCCGTCGCTTGGCCTCCCGAAGGCGAGGCCTGTATATTTGTAGTTCGATTCCGCCCGTCAAGGCTAATTTCTCCCTACAACTTAATGGACTCGGCTTGACATGCGTAATGATTCCTAATCACGAACATTATTTTCGCTAGCCGGGAGACATGTTCCAGTTGTTGTGACAGATCGCGTTTCAGCCATAATGACGGAAAATTACCATTTCTAATTCTCCGGTTTTTGACACCTAAATCCACAGACCACATGTGGCAGCGGGAACTCTGGGCCCCTCAGTCCTCCCTGCTGTGGCAGCGATCTTGCGGCTGGTGCTTCCACCCTGCCCCCTCAGCCGCACCCAAAGTTGGGGGGAGCAGGAGTCATCCTAGGGTGGATGGATGGGTCTCTGCTGGGACTTGGCCTTCCGGTCCCTCCCGCCAATGACAAAAGCCGGAACTTGGAAGGGACCTGGGAGACTGATGCGTTTTTGGGGACCCATTTTGCAGACGGGAACACAAAGGGGGCAGAGAGGGGAGGGCAGAGTTGTCCCAAGATCTCACGACTGATCATGGGAGGCTCAGCTTTGCTCAGAACCATTCCTGGAGTTTCGCAGCCATGGAAAGGGAGACCTGGCTGGTCCCTTTACTTGCAAGCCTCAAAACCAGGGGCGAGGCGAAACTTGGGAGCTGAAATTGATGAGAGCTGGGGCAGAGGAAATAGTTGAGGCACAGAGACGTTAAGTAAGTTGCTCAAGATCGCAGCGCTGGTGGAGATGGAATCAGGCCCAATGTCCCTGCTCTGAACTTCTTACCAAGGTGCCACAATTCACCTGGACCAGTCACCCACCATAGGTGTGAGGAAATTGAGGCCAGCCGGCAAAAAGCTGAGGCCAAGACTCCCACGTCCTCGCGCAGGTCTTGCTTACTTTCGAGGCTGGGAGCCCCGGCAGGGAACCCCCGTTTGAGCCAACACTCTCCAGCCTGCTTCAGGAGTCACTTCCTCTTCGCCTTCCACAATCCCCACTCCGGTGCCGGCCTGAGGCTAGAGAAGGGAACACGGAAAACCCCCTCAGGGCTTCACAGTGCCGACCGTCGGTCACATAGCCTAAGGGGTCTAATAGCTGCCTGTGCGCTTTGTTCTAGAGAAGTACCGTGGTCCACGGGGCACAAGGAGTGTCTGCTCAGAATTTACTAATCCTGCCTTGGAAATTCATCACAGAACCTCAGATTCCCCATCCTCCATAAGAAGAGGGTGAAAATATCTACCTCTGGAAATGGCTGAGGGGTTAGGGGAGGCCCCCTGTCTAGGCACAGGGGACCCTCGAAGGGACCCTGCCCCACTCGCCCCGAGAAGCCCCGGTGCCAACTCCTACGGTGGCGGGTGGGGGAACGCAGCCAGTGCCAAGGGGCACACGCACCCTGATCAGTCAAGGAGGCCGCGAGCTTCCCTCGAGAGAGAGCAGTGAATCCCTGAAGGCTTTCTGTCGGTGAACCTCTGAGGGTTTTCTGTCGTCCCTATGGGGCCCTGAGCCGAGGGTGGTGTCAGCGCTGAGAGTCCTGGGCACCCTCCCAGCAAAGTCTGCTCGGCCAGCGACCACGTGGGTTTGCACATCCAAGCGCACACCTCCTTGTGCAGAAGCAGCCATGACCCAGCAGGGTCAACCAGGCCAGGCACCCAGCCGGGGAACTGAGAGCTGGAGAAGAGCAATCACTCGCCGAGGTCTGAACGCTGGGGGTGGGTCGCTGCCACCCAGGAGACAGAGAGCCAGCCCTGGCGCATCCGGCTCAGCGAGGCGCATCCCGCTGGCATCTGCCCCGCTCCGGGGGGGTCCCCCCGGATTGAAGCCCTCAGGGCCCCTTTCTCCGCATCCAAGGTCTGTTGGGACCACACTCTGTCCCTACCAAAGCGTCCATTGATGTCTCCATCTCAGCGTCTTTGGAGATGCCCAGGGAAGCCGTGGGGATTAAATGCTAAAGCAACTGTCTTCTCTGCAACATCTAACCCACCCTACTTCGATGTCCGCCTTTGTTGATTAAAAAGAAATGTCTTGAGAATAGGTTTTTCTAAGATACAGGTAAGTTGGAGGCTTCCACGGAAGGAAGTTGAAGGCAGTTAGCTATCAGGATAAACTAGGAAGCCTCGCTCATGCCCTTGGTCAGCTGGAAGCCAGAGTGGTTGCCTCCATCGAAAATTCTGAGTTTCCCTCCCTTGCTAAACATGAAAGAGCAACAGATTCCTCCCCCACCCCGCTTCTCAACGGAGGGTGCAAACGAAAGAATATTTGTGAAAGGGTCTTAGGCTGTCCCGGTGGTAAAGAATCTGCCTGCTATGCAGGAGACTCGGCTTCCATCTACTCAAGCCAGTGTACTTATCTGGAAAGTTCCACAGACAGAGGAGCCTGCTGGAACTGAGCTACTAAAATCTCACCCTCCTTCAGGGCATATGTTTATTCTATTTATTTATAGGCACCTCTTCTCCCATTCTTTCCATTGGTAGCAACCTCCGGAGGGTGGATCATGTGTTATTCGCACTGATTCAGACTGGTCTGGTTGGCCAATGCAGGTTTTCACAGCTGCCATCTTGCCTTTTTTTGTTGTTTTGTTTTTGGTAAGTGGAGGGGTATGCAAAGAGCCTGTGGATGCAGTTCACCTCTAGGGGCTGCCCAGAGGCTGAAGGAGAACCCCCTTGGCCTTCCTGTCATTCCAGCTCCAGGCACAATCTGCAAGACTCAGACCTACAGGAGGTACATATCCTGTCCATTTTACCAACTTGGAGACTGAGGCCAATGCTGAAGGGAATGGTGCTCCTCTTTCCCTTGGGCAGCTTGAAGGTTTAGCTCAGCAGGGAAACTCCTTCAGAGAGGACATCCCTTTCACTGGGAGGAAGAGATGGCAGAGAGCCGAATGCCTCTGAGCAAAGGGATCTTCCATTTTCCAATCCAGTGCAGAATCATTTACAGGCCAGACTACCTGGGAGTCAAACTCAACTCTTCATTTTCCTGGCTGTAAAACATTGACATCAGTATTCGTGCATGCTAAGTCGCTTCCGACTCTTTGCGACCTGCGACCATATGGACTGTAGCCTCCAGGGTCCTCTGTCCATGGGATTCTCCAGACAAGAACACTGGAGTGGGTTTCCATTTCCTACTCCAGGGAATCTTCCCAACCAAGGGATCAAACCCGTGTCTCTTAAGTCTCCTCTGAATTGGCAGGTGGGCTCTTTACGACTAGTGCCACCTGGAAAGCCCCACATCAGGATGTGTGTGCTTAGTCACTTCAGTCGTGTCTGACTCATTGTGATCCTATGGATTGTATCCCACCAGTTCATGGGATTTTCCAGGCAAGAATATTGGAGTGGGTTGCCATGCCTTCCTCCAAGGGATCTTCCTGACCTAGGGATCAAACTCACATCTCCTGCGTTGCAGGCAGATTCTTTACCCACTGAGGCATCAGGGAAGCCCATCAGTATGGTCAATTGTAAATTGGAAGGAGCAGTGGAATCTATCTCATAGGGTTTTGCTGAGCATTAAATGAGTTAAAACTTGTAAATGGCTTAGAATAGTGCCTGGTACTTAATCATAAGTGCTCAGTCTCTGGTGTCTGGTGTATAATAAGCTACCAGTATTTATTAACTGTTTTCAAAGACACCAGGGCTCACATTGGAAGGATTCTCAGGTCTTTGCTTGGATTTAAACAAATAAATGGACTTCCCAGGTGGCGCTAGTGGTAAAGAACCTGCCTGCCAATGCAGGAGATATAAGAGACACGGTTGGATCCCTGGCTTGGGGAGATCCCCTGGAGCAGATCAAGGCAACCCACTCCAGTATTCTTGCCTGGAGAATCCCATGGACAGAGGAGCCTAGCAGACTGAAGTCCATAAGACTGCAAAAAGTCAGACATGACAGAAGTAACTTAGCATGCATGCAAACTAACATATATAGAAGCTATCACAGACCAATGGGGCCTAAAGACATGTGCAAAGAGATGCTTCAAGTATTGCCTAGAATGGCAGTTTGGATGGTGGTAACTGATGGATGTCAATTTCAGCTCGGCCACTTACGCAGGTGGCCTTAATCTATTTGTGCCTCAGTTTCTTCTTTATAAAATAAGTTTTAAAAGATAGGTATAAAATATTTATCTCACTGCCTGACACTCAATAAGAATTCATTGTTGTCAGCTCTTATTCCTTGTTGGTATATAAACTGCCTTACAGACACTGCCATCTTAGAGGGAGACAATGTAACTAGTGAATACCCTGGTACCTGGGTGTGACCCCTCAGCTCAGGGCCAAGGAGTTTAGGGGTGATCTGAACTCCAGGCTGACAAGACCACTCACAGGTGGGTGGTCTTGCCCTAGTCACAGCCTCATTGAGCAAGCTGTCGCCTCTGCAAGGAGGATAGCGATTTTCACTTAGCAGCAGAGAATTTTCTAATAGGAAGGGTTCTAGGGTCCAGGGGCTTTGGAAGATTGCCTTACAGCTGTTCTGGCAGAACAGGCAGGCTTCTGACTTAGACTGGATGTGTGCTGTGATGCGCTGGAAGAGAGACCAAGTGCCCTTTGCTGCTTAGTCCATTCAAAGAGAACAGAATGCTAAGCTAGTGTTCTCATCTCAGGTCCACCGGTCGGGCAGGTAGGGCGGATTAAAGTCAGATTAAGCAGAGGGACTTGCTGCTTAGTCCTTCCTAAAATGCCAGGAGAAGGGCAGAATTCACTTGGGGTTCACAAACTCTTCTTCTAGAAGACAATCTTGATCCGAAATCCTGATTACTTACTAGATCTTATGGACCACTTCTGGAGAAGGGGATAGCAACCCCCTCCAATATTCTTGTCTGAGAAATGCCATAGGTGGTGGAGTCTGGTGGGTGCAGTTCACAGGATTGCAGAGAGTCCACACACACACACATACACACACACACACACGAGGACCACTTACAACAAAATGCTAAAAGGCCCAGAGGCTTCAGTGCCTATTTTGCAGATTTAGAATTAAAGCATGTAAAATGCTTGGCGATGTGCCTAGCGAGCAGTACTGGAAAAATGGGAACCCCTATTATTAAGTCAGATCATAAATGCCTGAAATAAAACGGCCTAAGTAGGACCTTCTGGGATCTATTCTATGCATTTTAAAGCCCTCCCGGCCCGTGGTACGACTTCTGTGCATTTCACTAAGGACATCCTGAAGCTTGGAGACCTTTCCTATTGGAGTCTCCGTCAGGTAGAAGTTCATCCTAGGGGTAGATTTCAGAAGAGACGCAACGTGGGTCTCTTGGCGCTTGCTTCGCGGCTCCCCAGTGCCAAGCGCCGGGGGAAGGCTCCACTCGTGTGCTCTGACTCTGCGCCGGCGATTAGCTCTGGGGCATCTTGTCCGCGCTGTGTGCTCGGCGTCCTACCGGATCGCCTTGACTCATAGGCAGAACCGCGAGGCCTAGGAGAGTGAGCAAGGCCTCTGCACTTTGGGCTTTCTGGTCCTGTAGGCAGGGGCTGAGGGTTGGCACCCGCTCAGCGCCCAGCTTGCAGCGCGTTCCTCGGTGCGTTTTTTGTTTTTTGTTTTTTTCACTTCTGCATCCCTTTGCCCTGATCCTTACGGAAAGGTTGTTGGCAAGACCGGTGGACGTCACGTTGCATTTTGAAAGGGTAATGAGAGGGACGGCTCATGATTTCTTGAGCTTTCCTTGGGGACTAGTCACCATGACAAGCTATTTCTGCCCGTTAAAACATGTCACATCTGTTCTTTGAAGGATGGATGTAATGGTCATCATTCCGATTTTACAGTGAAGAGGGCTGAGGTACAAAGTACTGCGTTTCTTTGTGGTCCTACACTTAATCAAGTGATGGAACTCGGGTTTTGAACCTTGATGACTCATGTTCCTAACCACACCGCCTCTCTACGTTTTGCTGTGTCGTCGGGGGTCAGAATGGTGGCCGACGTTGGTAGGCTTCTCTGAATATTGGTGGGAAGAGGAGGCATTGTTATTCTCGTCTGACCGATGATGCAAATAGAATTGCAGAGTCAAACCCGGCCGGGAACAGAGCCCAGGCCGCTTTGTCGTGATCTTCTCGCCTGCGGTCCAGGTGGCCTCGGCGATAGTCAGAGGGCTACTAGCCTGATGATCCTTCAATTACCTGAGTTCTTCCTTCCCAAGAGGAGCATGAGGGTCTGTGAGGCAGGTCTCTCGGCCTGGAGGGCAGAGAACGCTGAGTTAGTAGTATTTTTTGAGAACTCCCATCCAAAGGCTACCCCCGGGACTCACCGCGGACTCACAGTTTCTACACTCCGCCACCCCCAAACCCTGGGCGGGTCCGGGGTGCTAGAGGCCAGCGGCGCGCTCAGGTCGGGAGATTGGAGCGGGGATGCGATAATCCCATCGTTTCCCCGGGCGCCGCGGACAGAAAGAATCAGGCCGAGAATTGGATCCTGAGCAACCGGCTGGAGCGGCGGGCCTGGGTGGCGGGCTTGGGGAGTGGCTGAGGCCTGGCTTGAGTGCAGTGGAACCGGGCTGGGGGCGGAGGCTGGACGCTGGTGGCATGCAATGGGGTCGGGGCCGCAGGCGCCGCTGGCTGTGGTTTGGGAGGAGTCAGGTCGAGAGGTGTCGCTGACCCTTCGCGGAGGTCACCTGGCCCAGAGGCGCAGGTACGGGCCAGCCAGTGGCCCCCTCTCTCCCGGGCTACCTCCCCCTTGGCGGGAGTCTCTGCAGGGCTAAGCTGGCTGTAACCGGCCTCTCCTCTCTGCAGGGTCCCTCCTCCGCCACCCATCCTCCCCCACCCCGGCAACAGCCGCGTTCGTACGACCGCGGGCGGTCCAGGCCCGGGCGTGGGGTGCAGGTGAATGGGAAAATCGGTTCAGGACTCGGAGCTCGAGGGCTCGGTCTCCTAATTCTCAGCAGCGTAGAGCCGACCCGACGCCGCCCGGATGCGGAGAGAGCCCCCCACCCCGCCGTGGCTTCCGCCTGGGGCCTTGGGTACCAGCAGGCCTCTTGGTGCTGTGGGTCCTTCTCTTAAGACAAATCTGAGGATGTCCCCTCGTCGAGAAGCTGGAGAAGGATACAGCTTCAACAAAAAAGCTGAAATCGGTGTTCGGGCCCAGCCCGCCTCCAACTTCAGCAGCCGTAAACATTCAGTGGGGAGAGTGCTTGATTACCCTGGGCGGGGGGGGGAATGTGGGGGGGGGGGGGGAGAAGGGAGACAGAATCTGTATTTTTACCCCTTCGGCGGCCCCAGTATAGGCGGTTCAGGGACCTCACCGGGAGACGGCAGCCCTGTGGGGCGGAGAGGCGAGGGAGATGAAGTCTGGCTTCGGCGGGATCGGCCTGTTCTCGGACCCTCGGTTCCGAGGGCAGTGCGGACACCGGAACGGTCAAAGACCTGCGCTCGAGGAAAGGACAGCGCAGCAGTGAAGTCAGGCCTGGGAGCAGAACTCCGCGTTTAAGCCTGTTCCTCCAGCAAGGCCGCCCCGCTGCGGTGCGCGTGCAGCTCCGATGCGCCACGCCCGCCTCTGCTCGGAATCCTCGGTACCTCCAGGCAGCCTTGGTGCGGTTGAGTCTGCGGGGCTGGGGACCCCACTGAGACTTTGTGGGGTGGGGGCAGCTCAAAGCGATTCGACGCGCATCTTTGCAGACCCAGTCCGGCGACCGACGCGGCCTTTGCCAACTGGGAGGGTGATCAAGCGGCTGGGGAGCTTGGTGGGGGTCGAATTTTCCTTAGCTTGGGTCTTGGCGTCGGTTTAGGCTCGGAGAGTGGAGCATCTGCCCGCCATGCGGGAGACCCGGGTTCGATCCCTGGGTCGGGAAGATCCCCGGGAGAAGGAAATGGCAACCCACTCCAGTATTCTTGCCTGGAGAATCCCATGGAGGGAGGAGCCTGGTGGGCTCCAGTTCACGGGGGTCGCAAAGAGGCGGAGGGGACTGAGCGACTTCACTTTCTTTCTTTCTTTCTAACCTGGGGAACAGGAGCAAACTGGGCCCCTGCAGTAGCCGACTCGATGAGAACAGGGGTGTCGCTTCCTGCCCGCTTCGGCGAGGGTCACATCAGGCTTTCCAGGCAGTCGGGTTTGCTCCCGGCCTTGCAGCCAAGGCGAGCCACCTGCGGAGGCCGCGGGCGAAGAGTTGAGCTGAACCCACACCCCGAACGTCCCCCTCCGCAGTTCCCTCCTCAAAGCCCTTTGCTTGCCGGTCTGAAATGAAGCGAGAGGCTCTGCGCCTCCCTGGGGTCGAAGGCAATGAAGTTGTCAGAGATTCACAAGCAAACAGTGTTTCCTCCCCTTTACCTATCCAGGTAAATTATTTGCGGTGACTTCTAATTTCCTTCCCCCAAAGAAAACCATGTCTTCCCACCTCGCCACCTTTTTTTTTTTTCCCCTTTAAGCTTAAATGCTTATGAAAAATTGATGGAAAAACATCTTCAGTGGCCTTTGGGTTCTCCTAGAAAAACAACCCAAACCCAGACCTCACTAGTAATAGTGAAAACTGCAAAATTCAGCTCTTTATCCCAGGCTTCCCCAGTTTCCAAACTGACAACTCAAACATGTTTGGACTTCAAAATGTCAAGCTTGATATCTGGCTCTTTTGCAAAGATGGCTTGGCTGAGACATGACTGAAAATGTAAAATGGTCATTCCAACAGATTTGGAACCCTTCTTTTTGTCTGGTTAATCCCACTATCAGCTGGCTGAGTGGCCCTGCTAGAACTGAAAGTTTTGTCAATATATTAGCAGTTTATAGAAAATTTTAAAAATGTAGGCTATTGAGCTAATGAAATTTAGCAAGAATACCATTAGAATTTTTCCTTATTCGTCATCCCCCCCTTGGTTCTTTTACATGGAATTCCATATAAAATATAAACTATTTATATGAAAGTTTGCAGAGTGTTACAGTAACCAAAAATACAGGGAATGAAACAATTAAGGAGCACATATAGGCATATTAATGACCCCACCTCGCACAGGCAGCTTATGTTCTACATGGAGTTTTTCATTACTACATGAGCTGTTAAATGCATAAAGTAGGTACATTTGTGGGCACATTAACACACTATGAGAACTTGAACTTGTTCATTTCCTGGCTTTTATGGGCCTGGTTGGGCTGTATGGGCTTGCTTTGCACATGCTCACATGCCCTGAACTCACATTGACTTCTAGAGTCCCACCTTCATAGATAGAGGGAGACAAGAAAAAATGGTATACACGGCATGGTTAAGTGTAAGCTTTGTTGTCATATGTGCTGTTTTCTATGCCTGTATGACACATTCCATAGTGTGTCTGGCCCAGGACAGAAGGAAGCCCTTGACTCCTTATGAAACTGGGCCTGGGGGCCTTTGTTCAACCCGTGTCTTTTCCAAGACCACATGATAAGTCCATTGGAGGTGTTTAGGTTTTTGCCATTGGTTCACCTAGGCTGTTCTCCCAAGTTTACCTGTCAAATATGAAACCTGAAATGAAGCTGCCCTGCTCCTTTAGCAGAGTACCTGTCCTCTTTGTGCAAATAAGTTTGAAATAATTCTCACCCCTTCTCTCCCCACAGTGAGCCACCTGTCACTCTCAGCTGAGCTTCTATATGCCTTTATTCTCAATCATAAAATTGAAAAGTAATGTTAATAGGATAATTGTGCTGTGTGCTTAGTCGCTCAGTCGTGTGCAAGTCTTTACAGCCCCATGGACTGTAGCCCAACAGGCTCCTCTGTCCATGGAGATTCTCCCAGCAAGAACACTGGAGTGGGTTGCCATGCCCTCTTCCAGGGGATCTTTCCAACCCAGGGATCAAACCCAGGTCTCCCACATTGCAGGCGGATTCTTTACCATCTGAGCCGCCGGGGAAGCCCATTAGATTCCTAGAAATGGGTTATTTAGTAAAGAACAGGTAGATTGGCATAGAAATAGTCTTGGGTGTTGCAATAAATGGAATTAATTTACATTATCTCTGTTGAGAAGCACTGCTTATGTATTCAGAACTGTGGAAAAAACTACATATCTCTGTACTGCATATATATATTTAATTTTTTATTGGAGCATAGTTGCTTTACAATGTTGCATTTGTTTCTGCTGTACTGCAAAATGAATCAGTTAAACATATACATAATTTCACTCTTTTTTTAAGATTCCCTTCCTTCCATTTATTTTGTTTCTTAGTTTTTTTAAGAAATAAGAATCTAGCAAAAATGTAGCTTGTTTGAATCTGGAATTAGGATAAAGACCAAGACTTTAGATTCTACTTGACAGTGTCTTATGTAAATAAAATTTAAAGTCAGCTTCAAGATAAGTCTTGAAATAAATATTTAAAATATGATTTGGCTTACGTGTAAATGTCACATGAAGGAAAATACCACAATTGTTTTAAAGATGGCAAATGGCTTTGAAGAAAAGTGAAAAATGTCATTTGTCATTTTTATATCCTATTTACAGGAACAGATAGTCAGATATTTTGATGGGGAAAATATGGTGTTTTTTTGGTGTGTGTGAGAAAGTGTTTTATGAATAGTCCAGGTTTTCATATTTTATCTGCCGGGTATTGGCAGTTTATAAAGCATGATTGGGGTCTGAACTGAATATAGATAGTTTTAAAACACATTGTCATTTTTGTCTAAAACTACTCCATATAATTTTTTTAAAGGGTCAAATCAAACGTGGAGGTAACAGTTATCATTTGAAAGCTTCTCATGTACTAGACACCATGCTTCATATCTTATAAATATTATTTCATTTCCTCCTTACGAAAATCTATGATACTACCCCCACTTAAGAGAGAAGAAGATTGAGCCTTTGCGAGTGTAAGGAACTTCTTTATTGTTATATAGATAACGGTGGAACTGGGATCAACTAATTGTAAGATTCAAATTTTAGTCACTACTCTAAGCTGCATCCCTCCATTGACATGAATAACCATGTTTCACTGAACAGTCTTGAATTCACAGAAACTTGTACTTTAAAAAAAAGCGTTTACTAAATTAAATGGTTCAAGTTGAAATGATGGATTTGGCTATGAACTTAGACTTTGAGAAAAATTACCTGGCTTTCAAGAAGGTGGTCTTATTTGCTAGGCCTAAAATGTTTTACTTTACTGTTCTGTTTTGAAATGTTATGTCTTGGAACAAAACCAGTGCTAAAGTTCAGAAATGGAGATGCCGATATAAAGGATGAAATGCTGGAACTTTGTCAAGCTGTAAACTGGAGGGAGCTGAATTGGGGGAGTTAATATGTATATCAGTTTTCATATCAGACAGTTTCATATGTCTGTAGATTTCATGTGGCCTCTTTCTGCTGAAAACATTTTTATTTAACATTTGTTTGCTGAAAAGTGCAACTCCAAGGGCCAAATTCCCTGGCTTGTGTACTGAAGATATTCAGCGTTTTGAGTGTTAAGAAGAGCTACGAATTAATCCCCGGGAAAAATTCCTTCCATTTCCAAGTCTGCCAATGCCGGATTTTCAGAAAGGATAGTTGACCAAGGAAATTAAACTCCCTTTGACTATGCAGATGTCAAGAAAGAGCATACTTTTCAGAGAAAAATTATGAAACAAGAATTTTTTTTCTTCTTTGAAATATATTTTCTTCTTGCTCTCGGTATCTATGGAAGTTTGAGTTTCTTATGTACATTTTAGTTTCTTTATTCTTTGTTACCTTGTGGTATTGCTTTTTTTTTTAATAGCCCAGGAGCAATATTATATAAGGAAAAATGAAAAGTTCCATTACAATCTCCAACTCTCTAAATTGAAAAAAAAGTAAACTGGAATGAACATACATGCCATTGAAGGTTGGAATTTTAAATTTGGTTTTAATAGTCTCGATACTTAGAAACAGCAGAATTATTTTGTGGTTGAATATTCTTTATTTAATAATATTTACAGAAGGTGGTGAACACTGTTGAGCAGGTTAACGTGCTGCCTTTTTAATAGGGAGCTACTGCTACTGGCTTCTCCTCCATGAGGCATCTACTTAGACTTGTTTTCAGTGCTGTGAGTGCTAATGAAGGCCAATTTAAAGCAATTTTCTTGAAGATTGCTGCTCAGCCCTGTCTGACTTCTAATTCCAAAACTTATCCCAGGCAGGAGGGTGTAGCGTGGGGTTAGTAAATACAATTATATTAATACTGGCCTTATTTTAGTTACTTACAGCTCAGTTATCTTGAAGGCACCCAGTCAATGAACACAGACCTGATATATTCAGTGCATTCATTATACTAATAAGTCTCGCATTGAAACGGACGTTGAAATTCAGTGTGTGAGAAAGGGTGTGTAAGTGTTTACGTTCGGCCTGAGCTTGCTCTGAGCTGATAAGTGACGGCCAAAGCTTCTCTTTTAAAACTCTAAACTGCATTAGATGAGTCACTGGCCTGTGTTATCTCAGCTATGTCACTGCTACGCTTGCCACAAAATTTTCTATTGTCAGTGCATTTGAGAGATAAAATTACTCTGTTATAGATATTACTTCTGTCTGCCTTTTTCTAAGCAGGATGTGCTCTTTCCAGATGGATTTATTAACTTGGGATCGGCTTGAGTTGAATGTTGTGGACGTACATCATTCAGACTGAGGCTAGTTCAGTGATCCTTGCACAGTGAAAATTCAGGAACTGGGTGACTTTATTATAAGGAAAATAAAAGAGAAAAAATGACTTTTACAGTCTTCTATCATTTTGTAGCCTCTCAGTCATTTTCAGGTTT